GGGAGAGTGGGGCGGGGGCGGGGAGCCGGTGGGTTTCGCCGTTTTGTGGCGGCTGATTCCTGCTAAGGAATTTCTGTGAGTAGGCATTGGATGGTTGTGCTCAGCTGTATAAGTGACAATGAACATATTCGGGTCGGATCTATTCCGCTCCACTTGTTTTCGGGCCAAACAACCTTTTGAAGTACTACATTTGTAATATCCCCTGTTTAATCAAAATAAATGTTCATAAAAATCGACTAATAAATCACTCAAAATTTCACAAATGCTAATAAGATGACGTATAATAGACTCTTGTATTTCTACTATTTTCTTCAGATTCTATACATAGTAAGAGTTTAGTGCATCGCCAAACTTAGTATGATTTTATTGAACAAGAAAATTTTCCATATATTGAGTTGAGTTTATTCTGTTTTTTCCTTCTTCTTTTTTTAATTTTAAAAAACAATGAAAATACTTGTTGGAAACAACTAAAAATGTACTCCCTCCGTTATTACATTGATTCAATATTTTTAAATAAAATTATACAAAAAAATATTATAAATTATATATTAATATGATAAAAAAATACATTATAAAATATTAGTCAAAATTTTTATAATTTAACTTTAAAAATGAAATTATAACAATTAAAAGTGGAAGGAGTCAGTAAAAGAAACCAATAATACCTTGGGTATGGGGAACCTTTAATGGGTTTTTGTCCATATTTTCTCCAAGACCACATATCAGAAGATAAACCATCAGCAGCTACTTCACATACTTTCTTCAATTGGTTCTTTCTGGAAAAAAAAAAATAGAAATAAAATCCATCAAACATATGAAAAAAAAAAAGTTAAAAAATAACATGAGGATTAAAAAATTGTCATATGTCTAATATTTTTCCAATAAAAAAATGTTCAATCTTTTATCCTCAACCCAAACAAATTAAAATCATCTATTTGAGCTCCAAAAAAACATCAAATTTTCTCACTATATGAATTTTCACCATGTAATTATGGGTAGACGTAGCTTGATGTTATTAGGTTTACCTTAATCTAGTATTTTCGATTTCAATACAGAAAATAAATTTATATATATTCAATCATAATAAATACTCTAGTAAACATGAACACATTTTTTTTACAATAATAGCAATTCAATTCTAATAATCTTAAATATTGAACCTATAAAATATGTAAATTCAAATTAGGTTTTATTGTTTTTGACTTATGAGATAATAAGTATACGAGAAATGAACCCTTTAAATTCTAGATCTGTCATCCTGGGCATAATTTAAAAAGCAGTAGTATTATAATTTACCTTCTTTTGGTTCTTGGACTTTGAGCATGTAAAGTACAAGACAGAGGTCTCTTGGGTTGAATTAATGTAAATTGTTGCTGTTGCTGTTGCGACGGTGATGGTGATGGTGGTAGATTCTGTAATAATAATTTCCTGGGTGATGAAATGACCGTTATTTGTTCGGATTGTTGAGTATAGAAAGGCTTGCACAGTTGATGTAACTCTTCAAAATCATCAATAATTTTATTTTTATTCAATAATATGCTCGATTTGAGAACCGGATCTTGAAAGCAAAATACAGAGCTATTGTTGTTATCATTATCTGTTCTTGGTTGGAAGTTGCTGCCGCTGGAACTAGCGGCGGTGCAGCTTCTGACGACGGCGTGTAGATCCCAATCTTCTTCCATAGTCTCTCTGTTTTGCTCTGCTTTATCCTTGACTTTTTTTTTTTTTTTTTTAGAGAGAAGAAGAAGAAGAAGACAAAAGAAGGCGCTGACTTTTTGAGGTGAAGAGGGAGGGATGTAAATGAGTACAATTTATTTCTCATATATAGAGAGAGAAAGAGAGTGTTGTTTGCGTGTCTTTTAGCTGGTTTTTAAAGACTTTTTTTTTTCTTTCCTAATGGTTTTTTTTAAGACCTACTCCCTCAAAAGGTCTTCGTTCGTCTATTTTTAATTATCATAATTTATTTTTTTAGAATTAAAACTATAAGTATTTGACTAAAATTTTACGATGTATATTTTCATTAAATAGTTATGTAAAAAAATACAATTTATAGTAATTTCCGTATAGTTCTTGAATGTTTAAATTTTTTATTTAAAATGTCGAATTAATGTAATTTAATTTAACTTTAAAAATTGGTCAAATTATCTTTCAAAAAGCATAATATGATAATTAAAAGGGGACGAGGGAACACGTCCTAAAATATAGTTTATAGTGTCAGATATTTGTAGTCTTCAAAATAATTTAGACTGAGGGTAAAATAAGAAAATAATTAATTTTATTTTCAACTTTAAAATAATAACTATTTTGAAATATATATTTTTAAATGAGGACGATAAGTATTTAAAGATTGGGAAAGTATTAATTGCA